AAAAAAAATAGAAAAGAAAAAGCGAAAATAAGAAATTTTCAAATAAACAAGCAAAAAAAAAAAATTTAACCGAAAATTATAAAATTATAATTAAATGAAAACACATTTCACTGAATGCTCGTGAAATTTAACAATCAATTAGTTTTAGCTACATAAACTGTTAGCATTTACAGTTTCAAAATGCATGCACTAATTTCTCTAACAATTGAAAAGCATTTATCAATGTGTTATCAGGAAGTATCACTCATGAGACAATACAAGCACACACACACACACACACACACACACGTACACGCATACACACATACACATACACACACACACACACACACGCATACACACACATATACACACACACATACATACACACACGCGCACAGACACATTCCTTTACTTGCATTTCCATTTCACGATCCACTCACGATCATCTCCAGTCAGTCACATCCGGACAATGATGATGTCGGACGAGGCGGGGAATGTGAGAGAGAGAGAGAGAGAGAGAGAGAGAGAGAAAAAAAAAATCGGAAATCAAAAAAAGTGATGAAAACCAAAAATTAGTGCTGTGCTTTTAGTGCAATGCTTCTTTTTTTTTTTCACAATCACTAATGGAATGTTGCTAAACGTGAAATGCGTTGAAGCATTTGACGTAAAAGCTTCATCATGCAAACATTTTAAAAGCTATCTGTGATGATAATGTAATGAAAAAGGAATGAGAAGAGATTATGAAAGAGGAAAATAGAAGATGGAATTTCTCAGCAGACATATATATATATATCTGTCAGCAAAATAATCTTCCACTAAAATTCTCTTTCACAGAGATTTCGAGAGCGAAATATGCTAAGAATTTAAACGCCCATTTTATAATGGAAAATTTTTCGCTACGTCACAGATTAAATCAGTTCAGATCAGAATCAAATTAATGATTCAACTTGGAAGAAAATGACTCAAATGAAAATTAATCATTGAAATTTTAAATCAACTTAATAATACATTTTGAAAATGATAACGATGGTAGAAAGAATAAAGGTTGAAATAGGAAGACAAGAAGATTAGCTATCAATTACTTATCTAAATTATATTGTATGGTTGATAAAAATTTTCAGGGAATCATTAAATAAGACAAGACATAGAATGAATTATTCTTCTAATCATATGCTACATGATAAAATATTGAATGTAAAAATTAAAAGACAAAAAATTGAAATTCAAATTTTAGGAGTAGAAGAAGAATATGCAAAAGAAAATTTTAATTTTTACAAAATTATGATAAAGCTAAAAGTTTCATTTGAATGAATTTACTAAAATTCATTGAGCATAAACAAAATGAAACAACCGATCAGCGCTAAAACACAGATTAGAAATGAACTAAACATGACCGGCAGATGTTCGATTGGGAAAATGTCAATATGCAAATTTTCAAACAATTCAACTCATCCACCACCATACAATGCAAAAAATATGCAAATTAACCCGACTACTAGCTTCTAATCATATTGGTGTATCAAGAATGCTCTTCCAAAAAATGATAAAAAAAATATATAGAAAGAGAGAAAGAGGGAGAAAGAGAGAGAGAGAGAGAGAGAGAGAGAGAGAG